AAACTCTTCTAGAAAACTACTTATGTTAACAGTTTTAAATAAAACGAATTTTAAACCATTTTTATAGATGTTTTAACAGCCAAATCTACAGTAGGTTATCTATGGGTACAGCATTGTTCCACAACTTTTTACCATAGAGACTTCTATAGCATTTATTTTTAAAATACCGACTGCATCTCCGGTTAGGAGAGTCTGTTTTCCATTTGACTATTGCAATCAACTGCTCTTTTATCGTGTGCAGGATTACATTTTTACAGGAAGGTTAGGATACGATTCTGGGAAAACTGAGTAAAATTTAAGATACAAAACATCCCCATACACTTGTACTCCGAAAGCGTACTGCATATTTGATGTGTGTACCGTATGATATAGGCCATAATCTCTTAATATCCCTTATTAGTAAACTGTCCTAGGTGTACACTTAGGCTAGACAGCGGCCCAGGTAGTTAACTATCATCCCCCCTGAGAAGAATTATTATCAATCAATCAACAGGGGTTTAATACATTTTTGTACATTAATGAATTAAACTTAGTGGTATACAAGGAACTGATTACTCTCCTCAACTTCTAATCACATTACTGTATCTTTGCAACTTGAATATTTAAGTTTGAGAAGAGTAATCAATTCTTTACTTTTTTAACTCTTAATCTTGATTTATTAATGGATAAAAATAGATTAAAATCCATCTTTTAAAACGTGTTTAGATGGATTAAAATGCAACCTTTAAAACGGTTCTAAATGGTGTTAGAAAAATGGATTTTTTTTTAACCAATAAAAAAACGAGTAAGAACCGATTATAAACCGCATTTTACGCATGCAAAAATGGGTTTTAAACCGTGTTAGTTTAAACCCACGTGCTGAAACGGAAATAACTTGTTTTAAAGATGTCTTTTGACCGGTTTAAATCAGTTTTATTTTAAACTGGTTATTTCTGTATAAAAAACTGATATTAAATGTCTAAAACCTGGGTGCTTAACTTTATAAAGCGTTTTTAAGTAGTGTTATATAAAGCGATTAAAAAACACTATTTTAAACCATTTAAGAAAGTGGTATTGGTGTAATGACACACGGATTAAATCTGTTTTAAAATACTCGGATAAAAACACACCGTTCTAAAACGATTTTATCTCTACTTTAAAACCAAAAAAAGAAGATTTTAAACCATCTAAAACCCGGTTTTTAAAGCCATAAACAATCTGTAAAACCGCCTTTAAAACGTTTTCACTACATGGTTTTTATCCAGGTTCTGGTTTAAAAATAATTGACTTTTATCTGGATTTAACTCTGCTTTGTGATTGTAGGGGATGGGATGAGAAGGGAGAGATCAGATTGGAAGGGAGGGATGGAAAG